GTGGGCAGAACTAGGAGAGTGAGTTACTGGTTGTTAATTTTTAAAAAATATTTACATTTTTAAATGTACTCTGCTCTGTAGAGTGTAGATTAGAAGGGTCATGAGGGAACACAGAAAGCCCTACAGGAAGTAGGGCTAGAGAGAACAGGCTAGAGAGAACAGATTCCTGGTGGTCTATGTGACAATTGTTATATCAGGCTTAGGGCATAATAAACAAGCTCCAGAAATGAATGTGAGACAGAATTGATAGTATTTGCTGCCTGGTTGGTTAGGGAGATAGAAAATTGTTAAGAATGATTCTTAAATTTAGGGTTATAACTTAGTGGCAGAGCTCACAGAAGGCCCTGTTTGATCCCCAACACCTCCAAAAAAATTATAAAAACAAAGGAACACCTCCGTTTAACTGGCTAATACAAACTGCTAGGACTTATCATGGTCCTCTGAGGCAGGCAGATAAAAATTACTTATTATTACTTGGTAGATCTGTAAGTAAATAAATAAAGGAACTGAGTGGCAGGTCTATTTATGCAGTTCTGCCAGTTCTTCTTAACTCCTGTATCTGAGTCTCTGAATTATAAAAACAGTGATCCTCAAAGTCAGTTCTGCCTTGTGCAAAAAGCCTGTTAAAGTTTGTTTTTGGTTCAGTGTTTTCTGCCTAAGTGTTCCCATTAGCCCTTGAAATGCCAGATGAGGTAATACTTTGTTGTTGACATTTCAGACACCAAGTTAATAATGGTCAGGTGTAGCACATACCCAGAACTGTTAACTGTTTCTGACTAAAGAGAATTCACTTTTAACAAGTTTAAAGTAATGTAGATGTTCCATTCTTGACACCATCTCACTGCATTATGTTGATGTTCAGGTTTTTGTTCTCATGATTTTATTTGCCCATGGAATTATGCCTGCTCAACTGCTTCATAAATGACTTACTAAAAAGAAATTCTCACAGAACAGTATGTGTATTCAGAGGGCTCAGGAATGTTATTTATGCTTGAGAGGTCAGCTTTTATTTTTTCAGAAATCACCTCAATTTAAGGGACCAATGGAAAGACACATATTGAAGTTATAATAATCTCTATGTAGGGAAAAAAAAATAAATGCGATGGGTAAGTGGAAATCTGGCAGAGTACCAGGCAAGCAACTGCCACTTGTTTAAAATCCTACCTGTGCCAAATTAGTAGGAATCTGTGTTGAGAATGGACTAAAAACAATTATTAAAGGAAAACATATCTCAATTTTATTCAGCATTTAGGGATTTGTGTTTGTTAACCCTGGGGTTTTCTTTCGTAGTATAAATAGTATAAAAGATTGAGAATACCAAAAAAAAAAAAAAAAAGGTAAATGATCTTTCCACCTTAGAAGTTACTACTACTAGTCGTTTCATTGGTATTCACATATTTTCTGTGGATATAAGTAAAGACTGATAATTTTATATTAATATCAATATAATATATACACTTCAATTGGAAAAAAATATCTTGAAGATCATTTTGTAATTAGTACATACAAATCTATATTTTAAGAGTGATTAATTGGCTGGGGATTTCACTCAGTGATATAAGGGCCTGCCTGGCAAGTGCTAGATCATGAGTGCAATCAAAAAAAAAAAGCTGGAGATTTAGCTCAGTGGCATAAGCGCCTGCCCGAAAGGTTCAGTCATGAGTTTGATCCCCGTACCAAAAGAAACAAAAAACAAAACAGTGATTGCTAGTTGAACTATATTGTGTTTTAGTAAAATCAATTATTTGACAATTGATCCTTTTGTGGCTTACAAAATTTTACAAGCGTTTTATTGCAAAATGCTCAAAAAAGAATATGCACTTCTTATTTATTAGAAGCGGCCTCTATCCCTCTGTCTCTCTTCTTTTAATCTCTGTCCATTCTCACATCACATCCTGTGCATCAAGCTTGGTAACTGTGTGGTACAAACGTTTTATATTTGACTAAATTTTGCTCATTTAGTCTATCAGTTATTAATAAGCTTTATTAAACTTCTCTGATTATTCTCCTTTTGCCTTCCCAGACTGACTTTTGGCTCTTCTCTCTCCATCCTGCTGTCTTCTTTTGCCTGGTGCGTTTGAAGACAGCAGATCAGAGTTCAGGAGGGCAAAAAAAGAGGTCAGGAAATTTAACCTCCCGGTCTTCTCACCCACAGCCCCCTCCCAGCAGGGTTCTGGCCGCCGTCCAATAAGCCTGCAACTGTTTCAGAACAGACCCTCCTCCATGGCGTAGCTTTTTATTTCCATCGTGTTTTTCACTCTTTCTGTGTTTTGTTTTAAAGTTTATATCTTTTAGAAAGTTTATAGTTTGATTTTTTAAAACCTAGGATGATAAAGTAATAAGTGAATTTTATTCCTTTACATGTAATGTGATTACTGATCCATTTCGACCTATTTCTGTCATCTTTGTGTTCAGTGGATCCATTCTTCTAGGTGGAACTTTCTACTCTTTATCATACACGGGATTTTTCTGTAAAACATGAAGTTAGTATCTCTGTTCTCCTCCCTGACAAGAAATAGATTTCAGCCTATTTTAACTCTTGCCACAGAGCTCCTAAAACCTTGCTACAGAGAAACACCGGTCTCTACCTTTCTTACCATTAAAGAGAATTTAAATTCTTCCTTTTTCTAATATCTAAGGAAAATACATTCCCAAATTCTTCATTCTCAAATAAAACACTTACGATATCAGGTTGTTGGGTTTTCCCACACGTAATTTTCCAACTCTCGGGACACCAGTTGAACATCTTATAATGTAATTGGATTGTGACACTATTTAAAGTTAATGTAAGATAACTAACCCAAATTTAGACCTCTGTACTTCTGACCAACCAACTATAAATCTCCTCCTCCTATGAGCCTCTCCTTGGACTCAGTAATTTCTAGACTGACTCCACAAAACACACGGAAAGGCACTATTTACATTTACTGGTTTATTATAAAGGCTACAATAAAGGGTACAGACAGTCAAATGAAGAGGTACATAAATCAAGGCATTGGGAAAGGAGCCCTAACCCTCCAAGCTCTCTCTGGATGCTCTCAGAACGTTCACATGTTCAGCAACCTAGAATTTAATTAAATTTCATTGTTCAAGGTTATTATAGAGCTTATCCTCAGGCCACACCTCTCACTCACCTTAGGTTCCTGAAAGTATCAATTCTGCAACCCCTAATCACTTGGTTTTCTGGTGACCCAGCCCATTCTGAGGCTGTCTAGGGCATCCCCCCCTTCATTAACATAAACTCAGATGTTACTGAGAGGGACTCACGATGAGTAACAAAAGATATTTCCATCACTTAAGAAACGGTTTTAGGAGCTCTGTGACAGGAACCTGACATGGCACAAAGACAAAACACTTTCCTTATAAAAAATAAAAATAAATTTATTCTTTATTGTCAATAGTTAAAATGTGTTCACCAACATGTTTTATTACTTATGTGGTAGCAGCTCAGTGTTCAGATCCTACAAGGATGTGAGTGTGCCACAAATCTATTCCCTGAATAAGGTGGTGATTGGCCAGGTCCTTGCTGTCATACCTTACCTGTTTCCTGTCACCTTCTTGGGTAAGCTGCTTTACATAATCTGTCACTCTAGACAAGGATCAGTATGACAACTTCATGAGTCGGAGTGCCTCCTTCCTGCCCTGGTCCCTGCCCTGAAACCTGAACAACTTTGCCCACTTTGGGTCTAGCCCATTTTGTGTTTCTAGTCCATTTCTGGAACATGGAATTGTTTACTCTATTTTGAAGTATAAGTGTATACTTTAAGTATTCTCTTTTTATGTTTCGTAACCACCATGGGTTATTCAAGGTTTCTCAATGGAAAAATTAAAACTATTATGACAGAATAATGTTTAAGAGTCCAAATATATTTTAACTTCCAAAATGATTTTTTTAAAAAGGGAAGGAGAGCTCCACAAGAGCTAGGGTAGTTGGTTATTACTACTTGGTTGTGCTTCATTTATTTGGAGGGGAAAAAAACCCAAATGATTATGTATGTGTTATTACTCTGGCTGGTACACAGACCGCATATATGAAAGAAGTTTTAAAGTACTTTCTGTTATAACTGGTATTCTTCACAGTTCAAAGGAATATCTAAACATGTATATTTAAAAATGATTCACTTACTTTTTACCTTCTTGATTTTATTTGTTCAATTAATTGCTAGACACTTTGTGTCGATGTCGCTCCCGGCCTGCAGGAAGAACACGCGACAGATTCTGATAGTGTGCAACCTTGCCTTTATTTGTCTCCACGTGGGCCCCGCGAGGCCTCCTCTCTGCCACCAGCCCTTTCTCGCCGGTGGACTTTCTCTATCCCTCTTTGTGCTTCCTCTCGTGGCGGGAAAGGCATTCACTTTTATAGGACAACAGTAGCCAATCAGTTCAAAGCGCGCGATGCGGGCTGACTGGCTAACATCAGCTGTTGCTAGGCAGACTATCTTACAGAGCGGGTTGTTTAAGTCGCCAGCACAATCAGGGGGCAGGAAGCAGGCGCCAACTTGACTCACTCGATGGGAGGGGCAATCTAGCTCAGGCTCCGCTCCCACCCACAGGCCCTACGTCCGCCAAGTAAGGCGACCGGTGTAGGCCGCGGCTCCCAACATCTCCCCCTATTTTATTTACTTTGAATGAATGTATGCATCGCAGCCCGCCCTGGATCGAGTGCAGAGGCTTATGCCCTGTGTTGAGGCCCACCGTAGGCCCTTGGCTTGGACCCTGGTCGGCCGTCCCCGGGTCCACCAAGGCCTTGAGACCCTCGTCCTTTTTCCAGGGCCAGGAGTGAACTGGACGGAACCTGGATGCACATAGGCATGCACTCATGCCCCTCCGTGCGATCCCCTCGGAGAGACATCTAGATCTGGGCAGATTCTAGTAATCCAGCGGCTTTCGTGCAGTATGGGGTAGGGCCTGGCTTAGGTCGAGTCGTGCTGGGGAGGCACGCTCTTACCGGTCATTGACTCACCTACCCTGCTGTGTGGTGTCATTAGGGAAGGAATGCGGAAGACCCGCCACACCTAGACCCGGTCGTAGGCCAGTCGAGTGAGCCATGCGTAGGCCTGGGGGTCATTGTGCCCATCACGGGCTGCTGCCAGGGCCGCATGGGCAACCAGGCGTACTTGACGCCGGGCCGCCGCAAGGCGCCCATTAATAAATGATGTGACCCATCGGAGCAAGCATGGTCCTATAAGTAAGAGCAGAAGCAAGGAGCACAGGGGACCTAACAATGGTAAAATATAGGGGAGCAAGCCATTCCAGGCTCCCCAAAAGGGGTTGTCTTGTAGTTCTTTTCTTCTCTTTTCTAGGTCTTCTTGCAGTTTCTTTAATCGGTCTCGAACAATTCCGGACTTGTTGGCATAAAAGCAGCATCTTTCCTGTAAGGCAATACAGATACCTCCCCTCTCTACAGTGAGTAGATCTAGGCCCCTTCTATTCTGCAGAACAACCTCTGCAAGGGAATCAATTTGATCTTGTATCTCCTGAAGGGTTCTCTCAACTATAGACATGTCTTCTATCAATTGCTTGGATAACTGAGTATATTTGGTTAATGAAACTCCTAGGCCCGCAGTCCCGGCGGCCAGGGCTCCAGTTATCCCCAGACCAGCCAAGAGAGGTAAAATCAGTACATCTCTCTTATGTCTTTTTATAAAGGTGTCCACAGCTGGGATGGGCATGGGTTGGTCCCCAGGGACAATACCAATGTCAGGCAACAAGTAAGCTAGGCCACATAGGCCGGTCCAATTACTGGGCAGGTAGGTATAAGCATGACCATTGCCGCAAGCAAATACTTTGCCAAAGGGGGCACATAGCGGCGAGCTACTACTTACATTGGTTATGGACTCACACGAGGCGACTGCCAGCGCTCCAACAACAATATCATAACTATTATTTTGTGGGTACTTTTGGAAACAGGATGCATTAAACTGTCCCATAAACTGGACCCGAAATGGAGGCCCATGTGAGCAATTATAGGGTGTGCTATAATTGTAAGGTTCACTTTCATAGTCTCTAAACGGCATGGCCAGCGGCCATGATTCTCCCATCATCATACACAGCCAACAATCGGAGGCCAGCCCTGGGTCAGTAAGATTGAGTGCTTTGTGGGTAGCCTCTAATATGGATTCAGTAGCGGGGTCAAGGTTAATGCCTCGGGATTTTGGGCGTAGGAGTGGATGGTAATTGACTTCAGGGAACGGATTTAATTGTTCCCATCGCTCGATGACCTGTTCCTGCCGGTACTGGTCTTGGACCCCTCCACCGTCAGAGATGTGAACGGGAGCGGTCATAGACCAACAGACCGTTTCTCCAACCTCTCCATTACAACCCGACTGCATGAATGGAGAACTGCCTACAGCAGCGGGAATATGGTTAGGGGCAACAGGGCTTTTAGTTGTAGTTAGCGTTGCCATCCAATAGGTTGTACTCTTAAGTTTGCATTGTTTTGTCTCTGCATAGCATGTAACATGCATGGATTCCTCAAACTTAGTGCAGGGACATGTGGCGAGATCACCAGGCCCTGAGGGACTCACCTTAGGCTTAAGTATGCACTGATAGGATGGTTGACTAAATCCTCCTGCAGTGGAGGGGTACACAACTGAGAATGCTGTTTTATCCCCACAATCGGTCCCTGGTCCTTTTTTGGCGCTAGGTGGTATACTGCTTACCGTGCCACCTCCGCAATCGCACGGACTGCCAAGAAGGCTCGTGCGAAGATCTATTCCAGAAGCGGGGCCCCCCAGCCCCGCATGTACCATACTTATCCTGAGGAGTGCTAGGACAACGCCCCCAACGAAAAAAGCAGCCTTTTTCGGGTTCATCTGGCTGTCAGGCCTGCTGCTGGTCTCCGGCAGGACAGGATTAGTCTTCAGTCGAAGGGCTTGTCGCACGCGTCAGTCTTTCTGGGACCCACAATGGTTCTCGTCCCGGTTCCTGCGGGAAAACACAAACCGCACCTCGGTTCCAGCTGACTACCGGATCCGGGCCCATCCATTGTCCCGTCAGGACATCTTTCCATTTTACCCATCCCTTATTGCTAGGAGATGGATTACAATGCTCCATAGCCGGGGGGTGGTTGTTATTGTTCAGGTTTAAAAAATTGTATGTGAATAGTGCCATGGATAGCCGTGCCTTTGGGGGCAGGCCCTGGCCTACTCCCCCTTTTTGTTTACATAAGATTTCTTTGAGGCTTTTATGAGCTCTTTCAATAATTCCTTGGCCTTGAGGATTATATGGGATACCATGTTTTAAGTGTACTTCCATAGTCTTACAGAACTCATTGAAGGCTTTTCCTGTATAGGCTGGTCCGTTGTCTGTCTTTAATATTTTGGGCTTGCCCCACGTGGCCCAAGCCGCTAAGCAGTGATTGATCACATTAGATACCTTTTCACCTGTCTCTGCAGTTGCGAATATAATATGAGAACAGGTGTCCGTGGAGACATGGACATACTTAAGAGATCCAAATTCTGTCATGTGTGTGACATCCATTTGCCAAATATCGCCAGGGATCAACCCTCTGGGGTTAACCCCCATTGATATGGCAGGCGTGTGTGTGGCGCATGAGCCGCACAGTCGCACGATGTCCTGCGCGTCAGCCCTGGAGATGCGGTACTGGTTGGCTAGCGTCCTGGCATTGACATGGAATTTGTCATGGAACTGACGGGCTTGCTCTATTGGAGATAACATATTGAAAATCCATAACGGGCGAGTGGCCGCGTCAGCAGCCGCATTGCCCTGTACCATGGGCCCTGGTAGGTGTGCATGTGCTCTTATGTGAGTGATGTATATTTTGTTGTGTCTATTTATGAGCAATGTCTGGATAGACAAAAACAAGTTAGTTACTTTGGAGGTTGGTTTAATTGGGCCTGCAGTCTCAAGGACCTGCATGGCATTGACAACATATTTTGAATCAGAAACAATATTAAGGGCCCCTGGGAACTTCTCGAGGACGGTTTGTACAATTTGTAACTCCACCATCTGTGGTTGATCTGGTTCAAACTGTATGTTAACTGGAGGCATGCCTGAGACCACATAGGCCCCTATCCCGGTTTTTGACCCATCAGTATAGACTGTTGTTGCAGGAGTAAGGGGTGCAGGGGCGGTGATTTTTGGAAATATCACCGGATGTTGAGTAATAAACTGTAGTATAGGGTCCTTAGGGAACTGATTGTCTATCTCCCCAAGAAATACACATCTCAGGATGGCCCAAGTATCTATGCAAGCAGTCAGAATTTTTATTTGAGAAGCGGTATAAGGCACCCGAATAGCGTGAGGCGTGGAGCCAAAATGCTGGATGGCTCTACTATGTGCCTCCAGAGCCAGAGAAGCAACTGCTTCCGGGTAATGTTCAATAATCTTGGCAGGTGAAACCTTAGGGTGCACCCACAGAAGTGGTCCTTTCTGCCAAATCACTGCCGTGGGCTGGGAACTGGTCTGCAACAAGCAGACCTCAAAAGGCTGTTCTGGGTCAATTCTCTGTAATGTAGCTTTGCTTAGGGCCTCTTCTATCTTCTTTAGAGCAACTCTGGCCTCTGGGGTGAACTCTCTAGGGGAGGCAATATCCGGATCCCCTCTCAGGAGATCAAACAGGGGCTTTAAGTCCGAATTAGGGATGTGCAAGTAAGGTCTGATCCAATTTATATCTCCCAGTAACTTTTGCATGTCATTTAGGGTTGTAAGATTATCTGTTCTGATGGTTACCTTCTGTGGAGAAATCGATGTAGGGGAGACTTTGGTACCCAAGTAAGTCACTATGTCTCCTCCTTGAATCTTGTCAGGGGCAATATGTAAATTAGCCTTTCTCAGGGCCTTGACCAGTTGGCCTAGCATATCCTCTAACCTATTTATGTCCTTCGCACTGATCAGCAGATCATCCATGTAATGAATGCACCTAACTCTGGGGAAGGCTTTGCGTAGGGGGGCCAGTAGGGAATCAAGGTAAATCTGACACATAGTGGGACTGTTGGCCATACCTTGGGGCAGCGTTATCCACTCGTATCTGAGATCAGGGCTTTCTTGGTTAATGGTGGGTAAGGTAAAGGCGAACCTATGGGTGTCCTCTGGATGCAGGGGGATTGAGAAGAAACAGTCTCTAAGATCTATAACATAAACTGGCCAGGACTGAGGGATGGCTGAGAGAGCTGGCAGCCCCCTCTGGACCGCCCCCAGGGGCTGCATCTGCGCGTTGACCGCCCTTAGATCATGGAGCAGCCTCCACTTACCTGATTTCTTTCTAATAACAAAAACAGGGGTATTCCAAGGGGAGGTTGATGGCTTTATGTGCCCTGCCTGAAGCTGGGTTTTGACTATCTCGGTTAACGCTAAAAGCTTCTCCTTGGGTAGGGGCCACTGAGGTACCCAAACCGGATTCAGGGACTTCCAAGTGATCTTAATTGGAGTAGGCAGGAGAACTTCCTCAGCGGCCCCTAGGAAAAACCCAGCCCGTGTCTACCTTCCCTTTTTTCTACAGGTATGGGAGATGTCCGGCCCTGCAGGGCAGAGCCCAGGCCCTTGCCGGGGACATATCCCTGATTCTTAAGTATACCCTTGGCTTGGGGAGAGCAGGTGGATGTAAGAGTGACATCCATCTGAGTGAGGATGTCTCTTCCCCACAAAGATACCGGCAGCTGTAGAACAAAAGGTTGAAAATGTCCTTGGTGACCCTCCTCATCACACCAAGGCAGGGTCACGGCACTAACCTGGGGGGCAGCCACCATCCCCAACCCTTGGAGTGTGTTGTCAGCTGTATTGGTGGGCCAGCTAGAAGGCCAGTCCCTCTTGGAGACAATGGAGCGGTCTGCCCCTGTATCCAGGAGTCCTGTTATATTTCTACCATTAACCCTGAGCGAGAGCATGGGTCTTTTATCAAGAGTCATATGAAGTCCTTCAAAAATTTCTCCAGAGGAGCCAAAACCCTGATCCCCTCTAACCCGTTGTCTAGACTGGAATCTCTCATGGAGACTGGGGAGCAATAAAAGTTGTGCTATCTTATCCCCCTCATTAATCACCATGGTCCCTACATGAGATTGGACCATAATCTTAATGTTTCCTGTGTAGTCTGAGTCTATAACCCCAGGGAGCACGGTAAGGCCCCGGAGGGCTGTGGAGGACCGTCCAATCACTAAACCAACTGACTTTTCAGGTAGCGGTCCTTTGAAGGTGGTCCCGACCACCTGAACGCCCATATCGGGCGTTAATAGGAGTCTGGAGGCGACACAGAGGTCCACGCCTGCTGACCCAGGGGTAGCCCTTGTGGAGGGCTGCCACCTTGTGTTGTCCTGTCTAGGGGGCGGGGGCCCGTCCGTAAGGAGGGCCCCCTCTGGCCGTTTTTTGGCTCCTGAATCCCCCTGCCACTAATGCGGTTTCCCTGGGCATCAAAAACTGATCTGCAATCTTTCGCTTTGTGTGTTCCCTTCCTGCATCGTTCGCACACGCCTATTGGCCCTTCCCGTGTATTAACACTGTGCGGACAGTCTCTCCTAATATGCCCTGGTTCCCCGCAGCCAAAACATCCTTTGGGCTTACGATCTCGCTTAGGTCCAGAAGCATCCTTAGCTTGTGCTGTCGCGGCTACAAAGGCCGCCGCAAGCTTTGCTGCAGTCATCTGCCCTCCAATCTCCCTACAAATCCTAATCCAAGCATTGAGATCCTCGTTTTTATGCGGGGCAAGAGCCGCTTTGCACTCTGTTGTGCATTGTTCAAAAATGAGTTGTTTGATCAGGGGCTTTGCCACCTCTTGGTCTGAAAAAACTTTATCGCCCGCGTCTTGCATCCTAGCCACGAAATCAACAAATGGCTCTGTGGCACCCTGCACTATCTTAGAAAGGCATAATGAGGCCGCCCCCGCACCGTTCACCTGTTTCCATGCGCGGAGCCCAATATTAGAGATTTGGTCATACACCTCATTGGGGAACTGAGTTTGGTCATCCCTATATTTGCCTGAGCCCTGGAGCATATCTTCGTTCCACCTTGCATGCCCCCTGCTAACATTCTTTTCTGCTTGCTCGATGGCAAACTCGGCATACCAGGCTCGCCAATCAAGATAACTACCCGAAGGAAGGCATGCCTTGGCCAGCTGCATCCAATCACCTGGTGTAAGAGGCTGAGAGGCAAGATTCTCTAGCATAGCTATAGTATAAGGAGCTGTGGGCCCGAAGGTCATGACAGCGCTTTTTAATTCTCTAATCTGTTTTATTTCAAACGGTTCCCAAACATTGCGCCCTTGGCCTGGGGCCATTTGCACAGGATATACTCCATAAAGACTGTAATCCATTCCTTGCATCGGTGGATCCCCTCCGGGCCATCGTTCACCCCTCCATAACCGCCCATGAAAATATCGTCCGCCCCGCGGCACAGCGTCATAAGACGGCGGTCGCGACAGAGTGGAACGGGGCGTCACTTCCTGTGCCGGCTGAGAGAAGGGAGGGTTCCCTGTAGCGGCCTCTCGGCGGGGAGCCGCTTCTGGAAAAGAGCTCCAGGGCGGAGCGGATGGCTCTCTGTCTCCTCCCCGCCAGAGAGCGCTCAGGGGCCCTTTCTCCTCTCTCTGCTTTTCCCGGGCGGCGCACGCACACAATTCCAATTCACGGCGCAACTCGGCATAGGGGTTTTTGGCCTCTCGGCTTCCTGCCCCACCTTCTGGTTCCTCCTCGCTATCTAAGTCGGAGGACTCTAGAGCTTGGGTGTCCTCTATCTTTCCCTGGATTTTTTCCCCCTGGACAGATCCCTCCCGAGAGCATTCCGACTTTGCCTGCTCAAAAGCCTTGCATGCGTCTATGATTTCCGCGTCTCTAACTGCTGACGGGAACCCCTTCCCCTCCCCTTCAAGGCACGCATGTATCATTTCCCACAGGGGGCGAATAGCCGGCGAAATATCCCCTTCCAATTCCGCCGAGGCGAGGTCCCCGCCTAACTTCTCCCATGACGGCAGGTTTAAATGCCCCGTGGGTAAAAACCAGGGAGCTACCCTATCTACCTCTGCTATGAATAGTTCCAGTGTTTTTTGACCTACCCTGAGGTCTCTAGCTTTTAAAAGCTTTCTAAGGGCCTTTACCAAGGGCCGCGCCTCCGCGCTCGGTAAATTACCCATCTCTAACCTCTAAGGGCTGTAACTCACCGCGTGTGACTTAAAGAACCCGTCACCTACGCGTGAGCCTGAGGGGAGTCTAAAAGCCCTGTAGGTGCGCGCCACCCAGAGCCCAGGGTTATCCCCAACTCACCTGTCCGGCAGCACCACGCTGGAGCGTTGCACACCACCGCCGTGTCTCGGGGTTGATCAGTCCCCGTGCGGGTCACCAAATGTCGATGTCGCTCCCGGCCTGCAGGAAGAACACGCGACAGATTCTGATAGTGTGCAACCTTGCCTTTATTTGTCTCCACGTGGGCCCCGCGAGGCCTCCTCTCTGCCACCAGCCCTTTCTCGCCGGTGGACTTTCTCTATCCCTCTTTGTGCTTCCTCTCGTGGCGGGAAAGGCATTCACTTTTATAGGGCAACAGTAGCCAATCAGTTCAAAGCGCGCGATGCGGGCTGACTGGCTAACATCAGCTGTTGCTAGGCAGACTATCTTACAGAGCGGGTTGTTTAAGTCGCCAGCACAATCAGGGGGCAGGAAGCAGGCGCCAACTTGGCTCACTCGATGGGAGGGGCAATCTAGCTCAGGCTCCGCTCCCACCCACAGGCCCTACGTCCGCCAAGTAAGGCGACCGGTGTAGGCCGCGGCTCCCAACAACTTTGTACTTATTGTGAATATCACAGGTAGGATTATTTTAGTTAAGACCAATTAATTCAGACTGGTAATTTCTATTTTTTTCATGTATTCAGCCCCCTATGCTATCAGGTTGGAGCCAAATAAATCATACTTGGTTCAAATTATATAATAGGTTCTTTGGAAAAGGTTTCAGATCTTCTGTTTCTTGGGGTGATTATATCAGAAGGGAAAAGTCCACACATATCTGCGGTTGGCCCCTTCCCTGGGTTTGTCTGTGCCCCATCAGCTGTTAACTGTGGTAGAGCAACTTTCCCTCTGGTCTGAGGATAGCAGACAGACGTCAGAGTGAATTGGTCTGATTTGAAAGGTTGAGCTGGGGATTTAGCTCAGCTGCATAAGCACGTGCCTTGTAAGCAGGCAGTTGTGAGTTCGATCCCCGGTACCAATCAAAAGTTTAAAAAAAAGAAAAAGAAAGGTTATATCTTCAGATGTGGAAAGGGACTTGACACTGGGTAATGATGAATCAGGACCTCAACCAGTTGGAAGTTATCATGCTTTTCCCGGAGCTCATAATTTTATCTCTATGCTCTTAAAAAACATCTTCTGGGTGTTTTTTAAAGATGAATACCTGACATTACAATTTATATTCCCTACTCTATAAATTCCTTGAGCATATCAAGAAATCATGCCCAAGTGATTTTTATATACCTTATTTGTCTTCATCATACTTTCATTCTATTCACATCACAACTTCTTTTTTGCTTCTTATTATAATAACAGCAATATTATTATGAACAACACAGACAGATTAACTAACCTACATGAGGACACACTGCTACTAAGAAAGGAGCCATGGTATGAAACAGGAATTTGACCCTAGATTTCATACTCCATGACTATTCTTGGTGCAATATCAGACATGTGAGCAACTAAATAAAGATATCACCTTTTGCTATTAATCTTCAACTCCTTGTGGGTGTGTGTGTGTGTGTGTGTGTGTGTGTGTAACTCTCACAACAAATCCATTGTTAAATTATTCTAGAATAAGTTTTGTTTCTATTCTGCTTTCTGGTAAACAACCCAGGAGTCCTTTAGATCATGTAGACAAACCTAGGTGTCTATATAGAAATTGTCTTAAAAATAGTTATAAAACTGTTGTACCCCAAAAACAAGACCCCAAAATGTTGTCCACAAATGAGGCAAGATGTCTTTTTAAAGAAAAAGGAGCATTTTTATTTATCCTGGCACCAGTAACACAATGCAGTTGGAGTTTGCAAGGCTGTGTGACTGAGTTAAAATTTTGATAGACTTTTATAGAAAGAACAATTAAGAAGACCTTTGTTTCCCTTTGCTTGAGGACAGGAAAGTTTTGCAGGAATTTATAGTCTTGGTCAGGTAAGGAATGAGGAAGACCGTTGTTTCCCTTTGCTTCAGGGCAGAGAAGTTTCCCAGGAGTTTACAGTCCTTTGTCAGCTAATTTCAGCACTTAATTTTTAGATAACATCTGTCCTTTACAGAGGGGAACAATGGTTAACATATCAATCAGCTCACCAAGGAAGATGGAGCATACAGAACAGTATGACAGCGCTACAGTTACTTTACAACAATGTGGTCAGTGCCCCAGGATGTCCAGTTGTAGAAAATAGTTGCGTTTGCACAGGGAATTAACAGGTAATTTGGTCATATAACTTGGGCACTGGCAAACATAAAACAGGAAGACGAAGCTCTTTTTGCTAGTGCATAGCATTCTCCACTGATTTTTGTCAGTGAACCAAGTCATTTGCTCATGGGGTTTCCAAACATAGATATCTTTTTATAATCTTGTGTCTTTAAAATCATGAGCTTTATAGTTTGAACCCCATCTTTGACATAGTTTACCAATTTGTTTATAATATAAGGTCCAATAGTTACACAGATGAGGAGGATTAACAAAGGTCCTGTGGCTGCTGTTATTAAAGCTGTTAACCAAAGGGAGAAAGAAGACCAACATTCAAAGTAGCTCTGTTCTGCCTGCTGGCTTGTTCTTGCAATCACTTTTTTAGGTTATCCATGCTCTGCTTGGTGACTCCAGAATGATTGGCATACAAGCAACAATTTTCTCCTAAAGCTGGACAGAGGCCTCCTTCCTTTAGGAACAGGAGATCTAGACTCCACTGGTTTTGTAAAACCATCTCAGCCAGTGAACTTAAAGAATCTGAAAGTCATAAGATGTATGGTTGAGAGCACAGGAAGATGGGGTCTTCCACATAAGGAAAAGGTAATGATTTCCTTGGGGTCTCCATAATGGAGAACACATAAGAACAAGATTATCAGATACATTTGACAATCTTAAGCTTTAAAGAGTCCTTGGAGGGAATGACAGTCCCCTTATCTGTAGGTTGATTGCTGTCAGAGGCCAGGACCAGCTTGAAGTGGGAATGATGAATCCAGATGGGCTTTCCAGTGACTTTGACAGTGGTTGGAGTGCTGAGGGCCACAGTGTAGGTAACTTCCCATCGCAGCTCAAGAGATTCACGGTGATGCCTCTTGATGAGGACTATTGTCCCAGGCTTTACTGCAGGGTGTTCATCTTCACAGTGGGCTGCAGGTGGAGGATGTTGTTGGAATAACTGTTGGGTGGAAGTTAGAACTGGCTGAAGGGCCTGGAGGGACTTAATAAGATCTTGAATAGCTAAATCAGCTAATTTTTCTTTTGAAATCTTAGGGATAAGAGAAGGAGGTCCCCCATATAAAGCCTCAAAAGGGGAATCACCTGCAACATAGAGGGTACATCACGCATGCAAGAGGGCAAAAGGAAGAGACTCACCCAGTTCTCACCAGTTCCAAGGCCATCTTAGTTATTACCATTTTAAAGTCTGGTTTATCCTTTCTACTTGTCTTGAACTTTGAGGCTGGTAAGCACAATGGAGTTTCCAATCAATCTGCAAAGCTTGGGTTAGCTCTTGAGTTATTTGGGCTATAAAAGCCGGGCCATTGTCAGACCCCATGGATAAGGGGAAGCCAAATTGGGGAAACTGCCATCATGGCTGTAGTTTTGACCCATCCAGTGAAAATATCTATCATTACTATTAAGTACTTATTCCCTTGAAGTCCAGGCTTTTTATTTTTGTTAAATCTATTTCCTAATGTTCTCCAGGCATGGTTCCACAATAGTGAGTAGTTTCTATTTGTTGCAGCCACTTTGGGTTCACTAATTGACATTGAGGGCTTCTGAGGCTCACAGACTGGGTAAGCTTTGATATTAGCTTCCAGGGATACTAAGCTTTGCTTGAAGTTGAGCTGCCAGATGCAAGTCTTGTCAAGTGTAAATAGGCTCTAACATGGTAAGTGGGATCAGCAGTAATATCTGGGCTATCTCAATCCCCACTGATTTTGTGGTCACCTTTCAGGTGGTGGCGTCTGCCAGATAGTTTCCTCGTATAACAAGATCATCTCCCACCTGATGGGCTTTACAGTGAATGATAGCCACTTTCCTTGGCATCCAAATGGTGACCAACAAACCTAAAATTTGGGGAGCATTTTTGATCTTTTGGCCCCCAGAAGTCAATAAACACTATTCTTAATAAATGGCCCCATGAACATGGGCCATAGCAAATGCATGTTCTGACAACTTGAGGGCCTCAGTGAGGGCAATGAGTTCAGCCCAGTGGGCTGATGTTCCTGGCCCTCGGGTTTGTTCCCATGGAATCTGAGAGTCTGTGGTAACAGCAGTTCCCATGACCTGCTTAACTTGATAGATGTAACTGCTTCCATCAGAGAAATACAAAGGAACTCCAAATAGTGGCTCATCCGTCCAGTCTGGTCCCCAATACAATCCTGGAGGGGCAAGGAGGGGTCATCATTAGGCAGCAGAGTAGCAGGGTTTAAAGCCACTGTCCCCTTGAAACTGATGGTAGTCGGATCCAGAAGTAATGCCTGATAATGCATGACTCGGGAGTTGCACAGCCGTCAGTCTGTCGGTCTGGCAGAGCCTTGATGAGAGTCAGCAAATGGGAGGGGACAATTAAGAGTTTTCATCCAAAAGTCAATTTTTGAGCCTCCTTTACCAGGAGGGCCACCGAGGAAATCACCTACAGACAAAGTGGCCATCTGGCTGCCACATAATCAAGTCTCTTGAAAAGATAGGCAACAGGCCTCTGCCAGGGTCCCATCTGGGTTGCCTGGGCAGGAGCTTCAGTTAAGGCCAGTTTCAGCTGTTTAAAAGCCTGTTCAGCCTTTAAAAGTTTGTCTACTCTAGAGGGTCCTGAGTACCTCCCCTTAATGAGTCATAAAGAGGCTGAGCTATCTTAGCAAAATTAATAATCTAAAGCTGGCAATATCCTATGGCTCCTAGAAATTCTCACACTTGCTTTTTAGTCACAGGAACTGGAATCTGTTGGTTGGCTTGCACCCACTGGGAGGAAAGACTCTATTTTTCTTCATGGATTTGGTAACCTAACTAGGTCACATACTTTTGGCATAGTTGAGCCTTTTTTGCAGAGACTTTATAGCCCAGCTCCTCTAAAGCCCATAGAAGATCTTGGGACAGTCCTTTCATTAATGCCCCTTCTCTTAGCAATAAGCACATTGATCTTTATCTAGGGGCAGATGAGACTTCATATTGGGCTGGGTGACTTTGTTGGCT